AACTCTCAAAGAAGTGTAGAAAGTTCAATAAAAGCTAGGAGATGACTGATCAGGCAAAATGAATTCGTATGTGCAATGTTGGAACTAACTATAATTTCTAAATTAACAGAGTCATTTCTATTAAAGATTTGGACATTGTGACAATAATATATTTCATTTTGTTTCTGGCTTTCAGAACACAAATATGTGCAAATACATAAGAGGACAGTATAACTTGTCTTCATTGAAGTTACCGTGTTCTTATCTTAGAAGATACCAGATAGTCTTAAAAAGTTGTGTTATGTAGTATTAATATCAAAGACCATTCTTAACATGTTGTGCCTGTAAGTAGACTAATTTTTGACCTGTTTAAAAAGAAACTCTCAATACTGTTTTCACCAGTCAACAGAATTCACCATTTGGACCACAGGTCCAGGTTTAATTAACACCTTGAAAACAGGTATCAGTTAACAACAGCATACCTTCAAAAACAAAGACACACACGACTTCATTCTGATAGTTTGCCAAAAACGCTCTTGTTATAATAGTAAAATGTCCTCTTAGCATCCCATAATGAAAGTGAAAATGTTTTTGAAAAAATGAGACAGCTGTATCTCACCCACCCCTAACTTCTTTGGTTCAGTGGGAAAGACGGTGCTCCAAGTGTCAATTCTTATAGTTGGGTGCTAATTCCAATCGAAAGAAAGAAACAACGAGCTTGTCTTCCTAAAAAAGATGAATATCGCTTTTAAAAAGTCTTACTGGCATTTTACACAAGGCCTTTTAAGACCAGGTTTGCGACTATTAAGTAAATTTCACATAACACTTCACATACATTTCCTCCTAACACTTAACCGCAGTTGATACAAAGTCATCCAAATGTCCATAGCTCTTGGGACAACTCTGAGGTGTCATGTTGGGCACTCACTGTGTGGCAAATACTAAGAAGGGGCTTTACATTCATCAATTTATTCATTTGTTAAAAATTTATTGTGCTCCTACTACGTGTCTGGCACGATTCTAGGTAATGGGATAAGTCAAAAACAAAGTCCCTGTTCTTTGTTGTTAAGAGCTGAGGCACTGAGACATTGAAAGCAAACAGATTCATAATGCAGTGCGGTAGTATTAAGCATAATAAAAACAAGGGAGGGCAGGAGATTACAGAATGGTTGGAGGGTGCGAGTGTGCTAATTTAGATGCGGTAGTTAGGGAGGCATTTTTGAGAAGATGGCACCTGAGCTGTCCCGTGAGAAAGCTAATAATGGTCCCCACTTTTACTGACAAAGTGAGGTATTGCTCAACATTGAATCCCCAGAGCCTAGCAGGCGTGTGACTCCACAGTAAGTGCTCAAAAAATACCAGCCCATGGATGAGAAAGAATCCAAAGAGGTGTCCATGGCAGCGCCAGTGCGGAGGCGGGTGGAGGCACCCGCTGTGCAGTAATAATACCACCACCGCACACTTCCCGGGAGATTGGTCAACTTTCCCCAGAGCACTCACGGCGAAGGTCGTGTCCTGAGCTCCCCAAGAGGCCCGTGGGGGTATCCGGAACGGCATCGCTCTCCCCACTTTACAACGATTACCCGCGCCTGGCCCACCATCTCCCACTGCCCAGCCGGGACGCCTGCCTGCGGGCGCTCTTTTAAAAGGCAACAGAAGGGGAATGTGCTGCCGAAACTTTTGGGGCTGCGCCTGTTCTCGCCCAGCTGTGAGACGAGGCCGCCAGACAGCCGCTCGCCCCTGCCCAAGCCTCGGTTTCCCA